TAAAAAAATAATCCTATTGAAAAGGGGCAAGGGGCTAGAGTAGACATTTCTCCAAAGAAGATACACAAATAGACCCTAAGCACATGAAAAGATGCTCAACATCGCTAATTATTAGGGAAATGTAAATCAAAGCTACAATGTGAAACCTCCTCATACCCACTAGAATGGCTATTAGAGAAAAATGACAATTGTTAGTGAGAATGGAGAGAAATTAGACCCCTGGTTCATGGCTGGGGGAAATGGTGCAGCTACTATGGAAAAACAGTATGGGAGTCCTCAAAAGGTTCAACATAGAAGTACCACACATGATCCAGCAATTCCACTTCTGGGTATATATTCAAAAGAATAAAAAGCAGGGTTCGGAATAGATTGTTTACCCATGTTCATAGCATTAGTATTTATACCAGCCCCAAATTAAAAGCAACCCATGTATTCACCAATAGATGAATGAATAAACAAAATGTGGCTTATACATGCAATGGGATACTGTTCAGCCTTAACAAGGAAGGGCATTCTGACATAGGCTGCAACATGGATGAACCTTGAGGACATTATGCTTAGTGAAAGAAGCCAATCACAAAATGACAAATATTGTGTGGTCTCACTTACATGAGGTACCTAGAGTAGTCAAAGTCATAGAGACAGGAAGTAGAATGGTGCTCGCCAAGGCCTGGTCGGGGGTAAGAATGCAGAGTTGCTGTTTAATGGATACTGAGTTTCCGTTTGGAAAGATGGAAAAGTTCTAGAGATGGATGGTGTTGGTGTTGCACCTTGTACCACTGAACCATACGCATAAAATGGTGAAGTTGGTAGGTTTTACGTGATGTTTATTTTACCACAATAAAAAAGACTAACTGGTGTAGGAATTTGGCAAGACCAGTAATACCCAAAGGTCCCTCACTCCCTCCCTAAATCTTCACACACCCAACTGATGCATGGATGGATGGCTAGCTTCCCCCAAACTACCTGATCTGCTCTTCTCTGCTGAGAAATGCTTCAGCTCAAGACCTGTGCCCTGTTGTTTTCTTTTTTTTTTTTTTTCTTTTTTTTCCTTCTTCTTTTTAAAAAAATATATTTTATTGATTTTGTACAGAGAGGAAGTGAGAGAGATAGAGAGTTAGAAACATCGATGAGAGAGAGTCATCAATCAGCTGCTTCTTGCACACCCCCTATTGGGGATTTGCCCTTAACCAAGGTACATGCCCTTGACCGGAATTGAACCCGGGACCCTTCAGTCCCCAAGGCAACGCTCTATCCATTGAGCCAAACCGGTTTTGGCTGTGCCCTGTTGTTTTCAAAAGTACCACGTGAACACCAGGTGCTACCATGCTGGCGTGGCACCTTCCTCGAATAGCCTGGGCCTGACAGCTGTGCCCAGCTCCCCTTACTAGACCTATCCCTTTCCTGATCTGCGAAGTTCCTGAGTTGATAATTGGTGCTGGAGGAAACAAATCTTTTCAGAGATTAAAGCTCATGCCTTCTTAGAATGACCAGAAATAAAGTGGTCTCCACTGATTTTAAAAACAATTGCATGCCTGTCAGAGCGCCTGCCTGCCAGCAAGCTGCTGTACCTCATGGACCCCTGGGCAGGGGAGCGCAGGGCTGGGTCTGTTTTTAAATTTCCAAATTGCAGGTGGCAAAGCAAGTGTGGGCCAGAGGAGGAAGGGGAGGTGGAGGCGGGGCTGGCCTAGAAGTAAGCAGGCCGTTTAGGTCTGCCCGTGAGCGGGTGGGGGAGTGGTTAGGGAGCTGCCAGCTGCTGAGCTGCCAGTGGAGTGGTGTGGAGCTCTTCACGGGGACCTGTGCTCCTCAGGTCCTTCCTGTCTCCAGGGCTGCCTCCTGCAGAGCTCAGTGTCCTTGTGAGCAGGCATCGGCACCGGGACACCCTCTCCTGCCCGTGAAGTCTCAGAGATCTGAAGTTGAGCACGGGCAGGGTTTATTCAGGTCACGTGGGGCCGGGGTCGGAGAGCAGGGACAATAGATGGGGTTTGTTAGCGGTGAAGGGGCTATTTCCTAGTGTGGCAGCTAAGATGATGTTACACTGAACTTATACTAGCTTCCCACCCAGATTTGTGTCAGAACATCTTTGTTTTTGTTTTTGTTTTTCCTTTTATGAACTTTCACCTCCTGGCAGTTTACTAAGAAAATACATAATGAATGGCAAAGTTACTGAATTTGGCGATGCTTTCTTTTAACTAAGTGTTAGTAACATGCGTTTGAAATGTAGTGGCACATGCAGTGTGGCATATGCTGTTTAGTTGCCCTGGGAAGGCCATGCATGTATATGGTCCCGCCCCCTGGCCTGCCACTCTGAGGAACTCTGCTCACAGTGGCCTGGAGCACTGGGGAGGAACCCCCTTAATCTGCTGCTCATGTCTTGCAGCAGTTGTGCGAGCAAGTATAACGATCCTTGTTTTATAGGTGACCCCGTATTATAGGTGACGGCTTTAAAGCCTAAAGAGGTAAATAACTTGCCCCAGGTCACCAGCTGCTAAGCGACAGTTGCTGCTAAAAGCTGGGGCCTGGCAAATGGCCCTCAGGAGCTGGCTGGAACTGTCTCTTTCTGTGCAGTTAGCAGCCCCAAGGGCTGTGTGCAGGTTTCAGACAGCATTGCGCTGCTGACCACGGCTGCCGAGCAGCTTCTCCCGAGCACCTTGGTGCCCTTTGTAGGAAACCGTAGGCCCACCAAGGTACAGGGACCCAGGACAGCAGGTCCTCTGCCTTCATCTCCCTCTGTGGCTGTCCCTTTGATCTCATTGTCCACTAGTTGCAAACAGTGTTAGCGAAGGAACCCTTCTAGTCCGTGAATCACAGCTGTAGCTCATCTAATGAGCACAGCTCCCAGTGATTGAGCGCTGAGCTCTCGTGGGGGGAGGCAGAAGCTGGCAGCCGGAAGGCCCTCTCCTCACTGCTCTCCGCTCTCTGAGACGGCTGAGCGTTTTCTGAGCGGCAGCCGCAGCTACATCACATTGAGTCAGCGCTTGGGATGAAAGGGCTTTGAGCTTTGTTTTCTGACTTTAGAAAACAATTGCATGCCTGTCAGAGCGCCCGCCTGCCAGCAAGCTGCTGTACCTCATGGACCCCTGGGCAGGGGAGCGCAGGGCTGGGTCTGTGGGCTGTCCCCCAGAATGCTGAGCCTCAGTTGGCACCACCACCAGAGCATGGTCAGATTGGAGTCCTGCTTCTACCATGGCCAGTGCCTGTTAGCCCAGCTGGCTTTTTAGCCCCCTGTGTGGGAGGGAGAAGAACAGAAGGATAGATGGTCCCCACACCCAGGGGTGGCAGGCTTGCAGGTAGCTGTAATGTAGGGCAAACACCTGGAATATGCCAGTAATAGTCAGGAACCAGCCTTCTATGTACTCTCTGAGCCCTCTGACCACCAGCATGTACGTGGCTGATGGTGTCTGGCCAGCCTACTACGAGGTTTTCTAGCCACAAACCTGTTCCAGGCCTGGGTTAGTGTGAGAAGGCAGACTCAGCAAGAGGGGAGCCCCAGCTATCTCACACTCACTAGATGGCTTAAAGCTCTAAAGTAGGAAGCAGAATAAGAGCCCATAAATCTCCCGGACCCGAAGCCAGCAGACACAAATGAGTGAAGGTGTGCCTGCTGCTTTCTGAGGCTCTGTCCTGCCCTTTTCCGGCCCCTCCTTCATCCCTGCTCTCCTGGACAGCTCCCTTTCTCAGCCACCGCAGCTGAATGCCGTCCTTAAAAAAACAAAACAAGCCGAAACCGGTTTGGCTCAATGGATAGAGCGTCGGCTTGGGGACTGAAGAGTCCCGGGTTCGATTCCTGTCAAGGGCATCTACGTTGGTTGCGGGCATATCCCCAGTGGGGGGTGTGCAAGAGGCAGCTGATCGATGACTCTCTCTTATCGATGTTTCTAGCTCTCTATCTCTTTCCCTTCCTCTCTGTACAAAATCAATTAAAAAAAAAATAAAAGCCAAAACAAAAATGCTTGTGTGTCTTGTCTCCTAATTGTTTTTAATGAAAAATATCTAATCGTGGTAAAATGCACATATCATAAGATTGACCATCTTAGCCATGTTTAAGCATACAGTTTAATGGCATTAAATACATTCATATTATTTTGCAACCGTCACCATCATCCATCCACAGAACTTTTTCCTCTTTCCAACTGAAACTCTGTTCATGAAACACTAAATCCCTGTTTCCCCTCCTCCTGCCCCTGAATCACTATTCTACTCCCTCTCCCTATGAATTTGACTACTCCAGGTCCCTCGTGTAAGTGGAATCACACGGAATTTGTCCTTTTGTATCTGGCTTATTTTACTTAGCAGGTCATCCATGTTGTAGCAGGTGTCAGAATTTCCTTCACTTTGTAAAATTGTATGTATGTCATTGTATGGGTAGACCACATTTTGTTAATCCACTTACCTCTCAATGTACGTTGGGTCGTTTCCATGTTTTAGCTATTGTGAATAATAGCTATGAACAGGGTGAAAAATATCTCTCTGAGACCCTGGGTTCAACTCTGTTGGGTATAAATCAGAAGTGTAATTACTGGATCATAGAGTAATTCTTTTCCACAGTGGCTGCAACATCTTACCTTCCCACCAGCAGGGTGTGCACAGGAGTTCCAATTTCTCCATAACCTTACTGACAGTTATTTTCTGGCTGTTTTTTTTTTTTTTTTTTCCCCATACTTCTTTCTGAAAGAGTATCTAGCATATACATTCTGAAAATGTAATGTGATTCTAAAGAGAGACTATATCTCTTTATGGAATATTTAAGTGAGTTTCTTATGTCAGCCAATACGTGTGCACTTGTGAGTATGCACACGCACACACATGCACACACATACACACTGTGTGCCTGTGCCTTGCAGCATGGCTCCAGGTGCTTCTTGGGGACCCAGGTCACACAAGTCATGGGGCTCAGGGGCTTCACCCACCCCAACTGCGGTGCTCGCCATTGCAGAAAGCACGCGTGCACTGCACTCTCCTAAGTCAGGTCTCTCCTTGTGTTTGTCTCTTGGCTGCAGAACCACGACCACGCCTGCATCGCCTGTCGAATCATCCACCGGTCGGATGAGCACCACCCTCCCCTCCTGCCCCCCAAGGCCGACCTGACCGTCGGCCTGCATGGCGAGTGGGTGAGCCAGCGCTGCGAGGTGCGGCCCGAGGTCCTCTTCCTCACGCGCCACTTCATCTTCCACGACAACAACAACACCTGGGAAGGGCATTACTACCACTACTCTGACCCGGTCTGCAAGCACCCCACCTTCACCATCTACGCCAAGGGCCGCTACAGCCGGGGCGTGCACTCCTCCAGGGTCATGGGGGGCACGGAGTTTGTGTTCAAAGGTAGGTCTTCTGCCTGAAATCCCAACGACACAGCCCGATGCGTGAGGCAGAGGGAGCAGGGTTGTGACTTTTGTTGAGGCAGTTAACCCCGGGGGAAAGGTCCTCTTTCTCTGCTAGAGATGTTGGAGAAGAGATTGGGGGAACGCTTCCTGCCCCAAGGTCAGCACTTACAACAGCCTCTGAGCTCCTTCCTGCCAGCCAGGGTGAGGCCGGGGAGCCCTCACCCTGTGCACGGTGCCAGGTGTGGCCCAGGAGTATGCCACGCGGAGTGAAGTCTCAGGTCTGCACATTTCCTTTCTTATGTGCAGCTCCTGGCGTATCCTGAGCGGCCCCTGTGATAACATCACCCTGACTGCATGCACTGTGCTTCTTTAGTGGGCGGTAAAAAACGGGCGTGAGTGACACTTCAGGGGCTTGGAGCTGTCGTTTCCAAGCTGGGCTTGCCCTGCGCAAGGAGATGGTCACGTGCTCGAAGATGGGAGGCTTAGAATACATAATGAGCGAGGAAAGTGAGGGATGAGGGTCACTGGGCTATTGTCAAATCAGAGAGTCTTTTGGGCTCTACATCTAGATCTTTTTAAAGCTTGCAGACCTTTGTAAGATGGTGTTAGCCCTGAAGGGGGATGGCCTGCACCCTGGGGATGACCGCTCTCAGGATAGTGGTCAGTCTATTTACTCTAAAGCATTTCTGATGACCCAGATGAGTCCTAGGGCATCTTAGTCCTCATCTTAAGAAGGGAAGATCTGCTCCAAGGAGAATGGACCTTTGATCACTGTGGCCAAGGGGATGGACACATTTGTCTGATGCGACCCCAAAGCTCTCGTGGTACCCACAGAATGCAGTCCCCTGGAAGGGCCTTCCAAAAAGGTCCTCTCATTAGTTCTGGGATTTGTATTTAATATATGTATTCATTTTTCTTGCTTGCAGCCTAATTTATTTTAGCCGCCCAATTTACGGGGCCAGAATTAACTTGCAAGACTTCTAACTAGTATAGGTTATTTGATACCAAATCTATTAAAAAAAAAACCTTAAAATCTTCTCATTAAAAAAAAAATAAAATCCAGTTTTGTTGACTATTTTGTCAATCCCAAAGAGTCAGTGTCACCGAAAACAATTGCAACCCATTGCAACCTGGGCTCATCCCGTGTACGCCAGGTGTAGGCCATTTTCACCGACAGACATCTGATGTGATTGTCATCCAAAGCAACACGCTCATCTTCCCACCCGGGGGTGCTTTTCCGAGGGCGGTGGTCGGGTAGGTGGGCATCAGGGCTGGTTTAGGTCCGAAGGCCTCATTGGGGGACACAGTGCTGTGAGCAGGTGCCCGTGGGCTTTCTGCACCCACCGAGAGCTCACTCTCCGAGAGTCACCGAACTGCCCCCTCTCCTTTGCAGTGAACCACATGAAGGTCACCCCCATGGACGCGGCCACCGCCTCGCTCCTCAACGTCTTCAACGGGAATGAATGCGGGGCTGAGGGCTCCTGGCAGGTGGGCGTCCAGCAGGACGTGACGCACACCAATGGCTGCGTGGCCCTGGGCATCAAGCTACCTCACACGGAATACGAGATCTTCAAAATGGAACAGGATGCCCGCGGCCGCTACCTGCTCTTCAACGGCCAGAGGCCCAGCGACGGGTCCAGCCCGGACAGGCCCGAGAAGAGAGCCACGTCCTACCAGATGCCCTTGGTCCAGTGCGCATCCTCAGTGTCCCGCCCCGAGGACTTCTCCGAGGACCACAGGGCTCACCAATTCAGGAGCCGGGCGCCTGCAGGGAGCACCTGTCCCCTATGGCTTGCTGCCCTTGCCTGCCTTTTGACGCTACTGCACTGGAATATCCTCAGATAGAAATGTTTTCAAAGTTCTATTGGATCCAAAGCAGGTTTCCTTACAATTGGCAGTTGTGTGTTTTTTTTCCCCCCTTAGGAAAAGCGAGGACATTGCTTCCGATGCACTTGAGTGCCCAGGAACTGTCCTGCCCTTTCTCCTCGCCTCGCCCCCTGCCCCCCAGCCTGAGTCATGAGCAGCTCTATTTGAAGTTTCTGCTTTGAACTCTGTCCTGCCTGGGCCCTGGCCCGGGTGCCTTCACAGTAGTAATTGCACTTTAAGATCGCAGAGCGTGGGGTGGAGGGAGCAGAGGGCCAGCGAGGCCCTCTTCCTTTTCTTCCTCTTAATGATGATTCGGTTTCTGAGGTGAACTTAGGAGAAGCGAATAACAGGCTACAGCTTTTTATTGTGGTTGCTTCCTGTCTCCCTTTGAAGATGTTTCCTCTCGGTGTTTTACAGCCTGGGATCCGGCAGAGAGTTGTTGGTTCGGGACTGCAAACCAGACTCTTCGTTATGAATCAAGAAGAGACTTGGGTGTAGATATGTACATAGCGAAAGGCCCACGATTTACCTTAGCCACCTTGACAGCCTTGATGCAAAAGAGGGGAGAATCCAGCCTTTCAGATGTTGAGTGGAAAAGTCCTTGTGATTAAAGTGTCCAAGTAATTTAAACTGTTGTTGTTTTAGCTTGTTGGGAACCCAGGTGGTGGTCAGACGCTGCTTTCTGGGCAGATGGGGAATGCTTGCTGCTTTCCTACCTGCTAAAGAGACAAGGGCAGCCGGGCAAATGTGAAAAGCGGTCCTGTTACCAGCAGGTCTATGGGATGGCGCCTGTGTTCAATGCCACATAAACAACAGAGTGCCCCTGGTTCTACAGTTTCCTCTCCGTGGGGCCCTCGCCTTGGCTCAGGCTGTATCTATCCGGGGTGATCAGACAGTGTTTCACTCTGGCGTGTCTGCTGCCTCCGAAGATGAGCAACAGAGACTACACGGGTGTACAAGGGCCATGCTGCCCAAGGAGATGCCGGGGTAGCTTCTGAAGTGGGTTGACTCGTTTGAAACCCAGACTTTGTGTATAGTCTCCTTACCAGGGGACATGCCAGCTTGACTCAGTTCCTGTCCTGCCATTACTTTGGCTCTGTCACTGTTGAGTCTCGGGTCACCTGGTACAGACTGCGAGCTGCCTTCTCACAGACCAGGAAAGGGAACAGGAATCACGTCTGCCCATTACCTTCCCTCATTACAAATGGTGCTATCGGAACACCACGTGGGATTGCCAGGAGAGGCTGGTGGGGGGAAATGATGAGTAACTGGAATCCTGGATGTGGCTCAAGGCGAACATGGAAACCACGATCAAGTTCAAGCATCACACTTGTATTTAAGAAATAAATTTATGAGATGCTGTAGCATTCGCTGTGGTGTTAGGTTACAAGGATGGCACAGAGTGCCAAAGTGCTTATCTCTAGGTTGTATTTTAAGTTGTGCATACGATGGGGGTTTATTCCAGTGAAAGTACTAACTTAATATCTGCCAAGTTTAATAAACAAAGATGTCAAAAATCCTCCCAGAAGATACAGTTTACCTGTGGATCTATTTAATTAATACTAATGCTATCTTTAAAGGATATAATAAAATTATATGAAATCTATGTTCACTGCCGAAGAATACCTCAGTGATTTACTATAAAAGTGGTAGACTTATAGTCACTTAATTCATAGCTTAGACTTATCTGTTCAAACTTTAAAAAAGTACATTTCATATATATGTATAATACACAAATATATACACACATATATACATAAACCCAAATATATAAGTAGTGACATATATACAATGTAGTATATAATTTAGAAATAACATGAAATTTATGCAATCATATCATTTCCTAATGCAGAAAATGACCAATATGTTTTGTGACACAATTAGCTAATACCTGTTGCTTGCTTTATCACCCACATATATCACATCTTGTTTTATATCAGTCATGTTAATATAAATATGTGTCTTTAAAAGTAAGCCTCTGCCCTAACCAGTTTGGCTCAGTGCATAGAGCGTTGGCCTGCGGACTGAAGGGTCCCAGATTCGATTCCAGTCAAGGGCATGTACTTGGAAGCAGCTGATTGATGTTTCTCTCTCATTGATGTTTCTAACTATCTCTCGCCCTTCCTCTCTGTAAAAAAAAAAAAAAAACAATGAAATATACTTTTTAAAAAAAGTAATCCCCATGTATCTCCTAAATATCTTTCCAAGTTTTCCTATCATCTTGAAGAAATATAGTGATCTATCTTCAAAAGTCAGGGGTAAGAGCCAGAAATTTTAACTTAAGGCCAAGATGCTGTTTCTGAGAAAAGTATGACTGAGTCCAGAATATTTTACAGCAAGCTTAAAATACTCCATAATAAGTACCCCAGAGCTGGCAAGTCTACCCCTAAGTTAGTAGCAGGTAGTTCTACTTGCAAATACTATAGTATTTGGGGAATATAGTGAGTAGTGAAAAGATGGCTGTTCTAGACTTCACTGGTTTGCTGGGACTGGAGAACACAAGTACCAATTGACTATAACAGGATATTTATTATAATCTAATCTAGATCATTCATAAATACAATTTATGAAAAAGTTTCCATCTTTTTTGTATACAATTTGCAAAACTAAAGCAGAATTAATGTGCACAAGTCTGCTAAGAGTGAAAATTTAGGCCAGGGTAAGTGATTTATAAGTTACTTTCAAAAAACTGTTGGCCACAACTGGGCCTTCACATGGCCTTTCTTTTTTTTTTTTTTAATAAAAATATTTGATGCCAGCCTTCCTTCCACTGTCTGAAACTATAAACTTTTTTAATGAGTTGAAATTAAGGAAGCACTACATATACTAGAAGAGAAGAAAGTTCTGTTAGTTTGAGATATCAGCATTCCCCCAAGCCAGGACAAGTATCTTGGTGAGAGCTGGAACACAATGTGTGTGTGTGCAGATGGTATCCCTGAGGACTCAGAGCTTCAGAGAACCGTGAGTGGTTCAGCTCATAACTCTCTGAGCTGTCTTGCCAGTCTCTACGCTGGCTAGATTAGGCATAATCAAAAAGGAAAAGCTCATATTCATTCTATTCTCCTGGAGAGCTGTGACAGCATTTACTGACACCCTGGCATGTCTTCCACATATGGCATTTATGGTATTTCTTCAAGTAATTGCTAAAAGATACAGGGCCATTCTATAATACTCACACCCATTTTGTCTAGATGTTCAGTGGATCTATACATCTCCCTCTGGAAGTGAGTGTAGCAATTAGGAGAGGACCTTTGACTTTTCCCAGGCTTTCACTGCATAAGGCAAATGCATTTCAACACTGTGTTCACCTTCATCCGTCTGCAGAGACTTGTGTTCGGACACTCCTGCCTTTCATAGTTCTCTATCCATTGTTTGGTGGATACAAGGTCACACAGAGGGGTTCTCTATATACCCACACAGGCAAGGGCACCTCCAGAGAGGGGCACGTGATGAGAAGGCCCGAGGATGAAAGTTCTTTGAGTAATTGATGGATTCACTAGTTTGTAAGCATGAGCAGCACAAAAGACCCACAGTCTGTATATCCTGCGTGGGGTGCAACAATGACTCCAACAGGTCTTTTTATAGTCCGTTTTGTGAAAACCCTGCTGTCAGGAAGGCTGTGTTCTAGCTGCTGGCTTCCCGGTGGCAGATCACTCAGTTGGACATCTTGGTGCCTATGCCACCCAAGGTGCAAGAAGATGAATGAGGAGGCAGTGTGGCAGATGCAACTACTGGAGCAGACCAGACACCTGGGGCCCACCACAGGAGGAGGGATTATCCAGGCCCAGGGGGATGAAGGATGGGGAGAAGGCAGTGATACAGCTACAGCACCCATCACCACAAACTCCAGTGACCTAGAGAAGATGGGGACCATTGGGGCTTCACTGAAGCCGTGGGAGACCTGGCCTTGCCCCAGGAGTTGCGGCTGCTCCCAGACTGGTCTGGTTCTAGGAAGCTGCTCCCATGACCTCCTCCCCTCCCAGTGGCTTCTCGGAGCCACCATCAGTACCCCAGCCCCTTGACCCTGTCCATCCCATCCCCCACCCCTGCAGGACTTCTGCCCATTTTAAAATCAGAGGGCTATTTTTGTTTGTTTGTTATTGTGTTGTAGAAGTTTCTGATATATTTTGAATAGTAACCCCTTGTCAGATATAGATTATATGCAAACATTTTCTCTAATTTCATAGGTTGCCTTTTCACACTAGGAATAAACTAAGGAGGTGAAAAACTTGCACCCTGAAAACTGCAAAACACTGATGAAAGAAATTATTAAAGAAGACACAAATGAATGGAAAGAGATCCCATGTTCATGGACTAAAAGAATTAATCTTTTAAAATATCCATATTACTCAGAGAGATGTACAGGCTCAATGCAATTCCTATTAAAATTTCACAGTCATGTTTTGCAGAAAGAGAAAACAATTCTAAAATGTATGTGAGATCATAAAGGACCCTAAATAACTAAAGCTATCTTGAGAAATAAAAACAAAGCTGGAGGCACCGTACTTTCTGATTTCAAAAATATATTGCAGAGCCATAGTGATTAAAATAGTATGCTATAAACCAGTATGATACAACACCTGGCATAGACCAATGAGACAGAATAGAGTCCAGACTTAAACCTACACTAATATGGTCAACTGTTCTCTGACAAGGGTGTTAAGATGCATAAGGATAGTCTCTTCAACTAAAGGTGTTGGGAAAACTGGATATCCAGATTTAAAAAAAGAATAAACTTTGACCATTGCACTATTTACAAAAGTCAACTCAAAATTGATTAAAGGCTTATATATGGAGACCCAAAACTGTAATGCTCCTATCAAAAAACATAGGAAAAAGGCTTCATGACATTAGCCTTGGCAATTATTGGCTAAGACTCCAAAAGCACAGGCAACAAAAGCAAAAGTAAACAAGTGGGATTATATTAAAACAAAAAGGCCTTTTGCATAGTAAGGAAGCAATAGCATGAAAAAGCAACC